GTAACACTCCAAAGAGAAAGGAAAACTTGAAATCGCATCATATGACCCCTTTAAACAATGGCAACAACAAATTAACCATAGTTTAACCATGGTATTTGTAGTAAAACTGTGGTTATACAAATGGTAATCAATCAGCCAAAAAAACAAAAAACAAAACCGTGGTTAACCATTAAAAGTTGTTAATTAAGGGAATGTACAACTCTAATATAATTTTGCAGAAATGTCGCCACAGGCACGTTTTTTCTATTGTGGTTGAGGGTTGCATAAGAATGTAGACGGTGTCAGGTTAAAGGGCTCAAAAGGGGCAAACAGGTGAAGAGGGAGGGAAAAGGGGAAGCACTGCCTAAAAAAAAACATGACCTTTGCGTGATAGTTATCTGGCTACTGGGAGTGAGGTGGTGGGCGCCCATGAGGAATAGCAATGCTTTTGTTGGTAATCTTCGCACGATCAAGCTGTCCTGTTTTGTGTCTATGACTCAGATCTCCCTGATCTCCAAAAGACACTCACTCAATGCCGCCTGCATGGATGCCCTCGCTCACCCCTGCGAGGGACCAACCTCAGGGCCGCAGACCCTTATTCCTCCCTATCCACCAAAACAGCCTCTTGAGAGATTCGCCTCAGGTAATGTCAGTGACAAAAAAGCCCACTTGCAAATTCGTATTCAGCCAGTCACACACCTGAGATCTTCTGTGCTTTTATTCGGCGCCGTGGGATGATTTTCTCCGCAGATGTGCAGCTATCCACCTGTCTGGAGGTCCAGTGTGCTCCTCTGACTCTAAACCTTCAATCTGACGGCTCGGCTCTCACTCAAACTGGCCTAAATCAAGCGGCACTGCCCTATTGAAGATGAAGAGGTGCAGCCTGGAGCTCATACGCCACAGACAGGGCTCCTATTGATTTTATAGCACAAGCTGCTGGTAAGCTGTGCTCTCTGGCATACTAAATTCCCTGCCCTTCTAGGAGGGCTTGATGAACTGCCCAGATAGCTCTCACTCATTCCTCTTGTCAGAAGCACTTGAGCTAGATGAATGTCTTACCTGTGCCTCGTGTGCATGCAACTCACTTAAATGTTTCCCGGCGACTCTTGAAGCTTTTTACCGCAGTCTCTGATGATGAATGGCTTTTTTTTGGTAAGAAAATGTTTTAGATGCTTTTCCAGTTTTCGCTGTGGAGGATTTATCTTCTGATGTATGAAGACGGGGCATTTTTAGCTGGCACACATGACCTCTCAGTCAAGTCAAGGTAGATAGATAACAGTTAAACATCATGACGCAGAATGCCATTGTTTTGCAAACACACGGAATGGATGTGCCTTCATTGTTAAAGTCAACATGAAATGATTCCTCAAGACTCCAGACTGGGACTAAAATAGTTTTAAATGCAACAAAAAAAATGACCATTAGCGATAATAACATCAGCATATGTTTGTTGCATTTCTCCCTCTGAGAGGCAGTTTGCACAGAACTTTCAAAATGTAATAATTATTTCTGACTCACCTCACTCATAGTTTTGATTAAAATATAACATCTGGTTGGGCAGTTGCATATAGTATAGCTGCAAAAGTTCAAATATTTCAGTATACTAAAAGTTCAAATCAGATCCAAAAATTTGCAAAGATGTTGCATATGCATGTGATTGGAACATTAGGTCTGTTGTTTGTCAGTTGTCAGAGATAGTGAAAAGGCGATTTCAGAGACAACATCAGTTTCATTCACAGCAGGAGCCGTTATGTTTGATTCATGAGCAAATGACTCTTATAAAGTGGTTCTTTTGAAAGAGTCAGTCAAAAAGATCCACAAATCAGCCTTTAACACACTGCCTCACTGAACCATGAGTCATTTTTCCATTATGTCCAATTCAAAGTGAACTAGGAACGTCACTTCTAATTAAGAACATTCACAACAGATTTTTTATGCAACATAAGGTATTCTAAAAATGTAAATATTTCACAAAAAATATTCTTTAGCATAGTTTAGCATAGTAATTGTAGTGTCATAGTAATATATATTTATTCTGGAGACCAGTTGATATCAGGTGAAAAGGAAAACCAAACAGTTTGCTTTTATTGATTTCTTTGGAATAATGTGCACTGATAAGACTTGGAATTTGCATTAAGAAAGTAAACTGGGTCAATTTTGATTTCATGTTGACTTTATTCTTCCATCCCTGATTCTGAACCAAAACACTGTAGTTATGATACATCAATGCTCTTGTTTCCTCATTATTTCAAATTTGAAGGTCAGTTTGCACACATTTTGTGAAGAAGACAAAGTGCGCATTGTTGGCATTCTTAAAACGGACTTTATTTTTCTAAATCTTTAAATATCTCTCAGACTATTATCTTTATTGATGTAAACTACTGTATTTAAAAGGTGTGCTTTTTTTCTACAGCATGTTTCAAGCTGAGACTGCTGTTTTCATTGAGAGGTCACATACACAATGTTGCAGGCCTAAGTGGTGAGTGACAGGGCCTAAGACTATGGATGTGATTGGCTGAGCAATAACAGTCCTGGTAAGAGGAGCTGATGCGAGGCTGTGATGGAGATGAAGGAGCAAGCAAGTGAAAGTGAGAGACCCGGCGACGGGTGCTCGGAGTAGGCAGAAGAGACAGGCACTAGGTGCTCTAAGAGAGACTTGAAGGGTTAAACTGTTCAACTGTGCCCAGTGCACTCCGGTGGACTCCTTCAAATATGAAACACTTAGTTTTGGACCCAGAACAGCACAATTTCACAACATAAAGTGGATCCAAACAAAAGGCAACATTTACAGTAATATTCCCAGTGAGGCGGCAGATCGCTAGCATGACTTCGGTAGGCTGTATGAAATAAAACTGGAGATGAATGACTGGCTTGCATGAATCTGGAGGCTAAAGTACATGCACGTCAGCTCTTGGGTGTTCTGAAATGAGGTGAATTTCTGGAAAAACTACATTATTATAGATGTTTCAGGATCTACTTCTGTTTCTACCTAACTGACAAGGGGATTAATAATTGTGACAGATGCGAAGGAAAACTTACTGTATATATTATATCATTATATCTGGATGTGTTTTGCATACATGGTAAAGAATTTTTCTTTTTTTTTCAATGTAACTAGTTTTAAGGGCAGATCTGTTGTTTTCTCTGTTGGCTGAACTTCTTTAAAGCCCTTGTATGCTTGTTATTTGAAAACCAAAAGCCCTTGGAGTTTATATTCATCAGTATGATATTGATAACATTAACTAAGCAACTAAATCACAGTATACATTTATATTTTGTAGTTAAGCTCAGTATAGCATTGATGTAGCATTAATGTATATAGAATGAGCAGTATATATATTCAAAGAAGTGTTGTATGCATGTTCACAAGCATAGCTTTTGTTGTTGTTTTGTTATTGTGTATAGACTTGAACCTGAAAATCCCTCCAGCCCATTTAGAGGCTTGTCTATTCATGATATGTGAATGGTCCAAGTTCTCAGGGCTGTTCCTTTTGATTTCATAACATTCTGATTTTTATAAACTCTTGATGCACAGCTTTTGGTAAATGTATGAACAATATTTTCTCCAAAAACATTTTAACTATAGACAATTAAGAAATCTACATTTGGCAGCCAACTGCTTTTCTTTCGCTAACAGATGGAAAATAAAACCTCTATGGTATGATAATGACCACAATATCCATATTAATAAGCAAAAGGGCCTCCAGTAAACTTCTTATCAAGGATATCTCATTGTAAATCACAGAAAATTGTAAATCATTAAAATCGCAATGAAAACATGTAATACCAAAAAACTTTGCTTGGCTAAAAGATCATATTTAATAACAAGCATTTTAACCCTGTTATAAAAGTTTATGCAGGGGTTATTGCAATGGAAATAATGGGAGTAAACATTATTAAAAAATAAAAAAAATAACAACTGTGTGGATGGCATGCAGAACCCGGCCAAGTAGATTGTGGGCAGCGTGTAGGTGGCATGAGTGGGGGTGATCAGCATGAGACAGTGGCACTAGTTGTGGGCTCAATTTCCGACCCGGGAGAGAAACCAACAATGTATACAATCTTGTGAGTGTGAGGCAGCACTCACCAGCTATGGGCTACTGAGCTGTGCATAAGGCGAGTATCAGGACAGCCTTTCGGTTCGTCTGTCAGAAGTGTTACAATCCTCCCCCTCAGAGGGCTTCACAGTTTCGCTGGGCTACCACTTCAGGAACTCCAGTCGCAGAACAAATGACTTTGAGGAGAGGACTAGCATTCTACTCGAGTAGCCCTTAGGGGGAGGGACATGTGAGTCAGGTGAAACGACAGAAACAGTGACTGAAAAATGAGGATTAAAAGGAAGCACCAATGATCTAACAATTACCATCTATATTTATATATAATGTTATAGAAAGAGGGTTATAGCCCTGCAGGCCTCGAGTGAATTCTTCTTCCTACTGGGGTCCAGCTCAAGTCTGTGGTTGTAACGTCTTGGCCGTGGCACTTCCTCTGTGCTTAAACTCTCTCAGACTGGAGTGGTCCTCCTGTTGGCCGCATCTTTGAAGTCCTTAGCGTTGGAGTTGTGAGCCTGCAAAAACTCCCTCTCGGAGTTGAGCAAGGCACCCATTGCCGCCTTGGAGGGATCCCTGGACAGGGTGTACATGGAGATGTCTGCCGCAGCGGGGCCCGTGTACCCGCTCTTGCCCATGGGCGAAGCGTCACGCGAGGCAGGCTCACTGGAGCGGCAGCTGGAGCGCCGGCGGAATCGGTAGCGGTAGCTGGGGATGCGACTGAAGGCCGACTTCTTGATCAGCTCGGTGCGGGACTTGGTGCGCAGCTTCCGGTGTTTCTCGATGAACATGTGCACGGCAAGCACGCCCACCATCTCGGCCATTATGAAGGACAGTGCGCCGAAGTAGAAGGACCAGCCGTATGAGTAGCTCTTCTTTGAATCGCTCTGGCCAGGGTCACCCGAATTGGCGGATATGTACACGATAATACCGATGATGTTACTTAGGCCTGCGTGAGGAGTAACAGCAGAGGAGAGGGCAAGAGAGAAAAGAGAGAGAGAAAGTTATGGCTCAGCACGCAGCTGTGGCTCATCATTCTGTATCATTACACAAGAATGCATCACTTAGCAGCCATGCGGAACACAGAAAAAAAGAACAATTGAAACATTTTAATTAGCTTTTTATAATCGCCATCATATTGAAGGGTAAATAATTAGCAGTTTGCCGTCGAATATTTAGATCATAACCAATAGGACGAGGCGATTCCAAGCGCATTGTTGTGTACAAAGCAACGCTCTGTCATCGGCAGCACGTTCGCTGCAATCATGAGGACTGATTCATCACAATTCAATTGTAACAGAGGGAGTTGGGCTCATTTGTGTGCTCATGAGGTCCTAATGGGGTCTTCTCTAAATATTTGACCAACATGCAGTTCTGAGGATCCCCGTCTGTCACCCTTTCCCAGGCCAGAACTGCAGCAGTGGATCAATATGCTGGCCTGCTGTTTGTTTACACTGCTCGAGCCGGCCCATCCATTTCAATAATAAGAGTTAATCTGGGAAGTCAACACGGAGTCTACGGGGAGGACGACATCCTAACCTGTCTATGAACTAATCCATTCTAGACATGCTGTATTCTGAACCCAACGGTACTCTCTGTCTTGTGGGGAAACCCTGGTTCGGACAATTGACTGTGGTTCGGAAAGATGGAAATATGCTAAAGCTAAATATATAAACAGGCTGAGCGCACTTGCACTGATGCAGTGGGTTTAATCTCTTACCAGCAGAGACAAAGAAGATTCCAGCACTGAGGATGACATTGTGTCTGCTCCTGTAAAACTCACCGGCAGCCACACACAAACCTCCCATGAACAGAAGCCCAACGCTCATGATGGGGAAGATGCTGGACGCTCTCACTGCTCCTGAGGGAGATACAAGCAAACCCAGCCACATTAGTGTCACTGTAAATAGTACAGAAGGAAACTCACCATATAAAGAGTCCGAAAATATTTTTATGTGAATGACAGATCATATTCAAAGGTCCATTTATGCTTATATTGATTATTTAGAAAACAGGGCTTTGGATGCTAGTTGGATGCAAACTGTACTAAAATAAACAATATACTGCATCTATGATGCAAACACCTGTCCACCAGCTACTGTTTATCACTGCACAACACACATACAGGCCAAATATTATCCTTACACTAAAAAAAAATCTAAAGAAGAAAAATTACTTTATGTAGTTGTGAATCTCGGTAAGTGGTAACATCTTAATTAGCTTATTTTATTTAAAGTAAAAAAAATCACTATATGAACCTAGAGACTATCAAAAATATATGTAAGACTTAGACTGGGTAGAAATACCTCTTAAGGTAATAAGCAGGTATTTTTACTCATGATGGGGAAGATGCTGGATGCTCTCACTGCTCCTGAGGGAGATACAAGCAAACCCAGCCACATTAGTGTCACTGTAAATAGTACAGAAGGAAACTCACCATATAAAGAGTCCGAAAATATTTTTATGTGAATGACAGATCATATTCAAAGGTCCATTTATGCTTATATTGATTATTTAGAAAACAGGGCTTTGGATGCTAGTTGGATGCAAACTGTACTAAAATAAACAATATACTGCATCTATGATGCAAACACCTGTCCACCAGCTACTGTTTATCACTGCACAACACACATACAGGCCAAATATTATCCTTACACTAAAAAAAAATCTAAAGAAGAAAAATTACTTTATGTAGTTGTGAATCTCGGTAAGTGGTAACATCTTAATTAGCTTATTTTATTTAAAGTAAAAAAAATCACTATATGAACCTAGAGACTATCAAAAATATATGTAAGACTTAGACTGGGTAGAAATACCTCTTAAGGTAATAAGCAGGTATTTTTATGCAATATAAATTGACCGTATATTTAAAATGTCAGGAAATATCAGAATGAAATGAAATTTTGTTTTGTCTCTAACATTTTTATTATATATTAAGCATTTTAAATAAAGCTCTCAAAGGGATGCAGTTTTGTGAGTATACCATTCAAAAGTTTGGGGTCAGTTTTTTTATGTTTTGCAAGATGTTTCTTTCTTGCTCAGCAACACTATACTTTTATTTGATCAAAAATTCAGCAAAACAGAAATATTGTAAAATATTGTTACAATTTAAAATAACTGTTTGAATATATTCTAAATTGTAATTTATTCCTGCAACGGTAAAGCTGTTTTTTCAGCATCATTACTCCAGTCTTTAGTGTAATCTTCAGAAATCATTCTAATATGCTGATATGCTACTTAAGAATCGTTCTTATTATTATCAGTTGAAAAAAATTGTGCTGCTTAATATATTTGTTGAAACTTTTTTTCAGGATTTTTTAAAGAATAGAAAGTTCAATAAGAATATAATTTGTTTGTATTTTTTTAACATCTTCATTGTCACTTTTGGTCAATTTGATTCTTACTGACCCCAAACTTTTGAATAAAAGTGTAGAGTCTGCTCCACCGTGTCATGCCTAAAATGGTCTTTATGTAGAAATATTTGTAATATGATGTCCTCTCATACTTTATTTCTTAAATATACATCTATAATTCTGTGATTGTCTATTTACTTTATGTATACGCATGAATATATATGCTATACTTTGCTGTGTCGAAACCAAAATCAACCTAGACATTATACTCCTTTTATGTTCCACAGAACAAAAAATGCCATGTTGGTGAATAGATGATGACATTTTTGGTGAACTATGCCTTTTAGATTTACTGATACAATGACTTTTATGGTACACATACGTTTTTTTGGATTTATGGTGTAAATCAGTCTGTCTCGTCAGAGGTATTTGGTCTAATAACCCGGCATTGGAACACTTCATCCCGAGCGAGCCATCTGATGGTGCTCTGCAGAAAGAATGTCTCCTTGAAGTGCTGTGTTTAGTTAAGTCTTCACAGATTTGAGCACTGCAACAGACAGTATCTGTCGCAAATGCTTCGTACTTCCGTCCAATTATTTGCGGACAGTTCTGGATCAGAAAACGCAGTACACACGGGGCTTCTCAGACTGGCTGAACTCCTTGCTCCTTTACTCTGCCTCAGATCAAGCTTGATCAGCCTCTTCAGAAATAGGATAAAAGCTAAAGGAGGGGCGTCTGAGAGTGTCAGGATCAATGTCAATAGCCTAGTTGACTGCCCTTATCAGTACACTATTGCTATGCACACCGCAGCGCTGCAGCATTTGCCCTTCTGAGCGCCTCTCCTCTAAGAAATAAATATTTTGGGACAAGAGGGGCAATCATGTCTACAGATGAAATAACCAGTGAATGTGATAGGAAAATATATCCATTTCGCTTTTTTTGAAATGTAGCCTTTACATTATCCTTTACCCCAGTGCATTTAAAAACTGACAGTGATGTTTATATGTACAAAAAAACACTGATAGCTTTGTAAACCAATAATAATATAAAACAATGCAAATCACTGAACAATCATGCAAGAACATCACGTTTACTGTACATGCACTTTTTTTGTCCAGTCTTGAATAAAGAACTGTTGCACAGTCATGCAAAATGTTGTGGGTCAGAACTTAATTTAAAGAATGCCTTTAAAAGTACATTTTAATTCCTTCATTTAAATATGGTTGCAAACAGTAAGTAGAATAGAAATGGAATGATATTCAATGAAAATCAATTTATTATATATTTGATTTTTCAGTATGAATTGCTGATTAAATATATATATCTTTATATAAATATAAAGAATTTATATATGTCATAAATATATTTTCATTATATTTCATAAATTAATACATTTATTTTGGAGGTACAGTTCATTTGTAAGGATGCTCTAATTTATACCAAAACATATTTATTTCTATAATATCTGAAATTCATGTGGCAGACATTTTGTTTTTGTGACAATTTTAATGGATAAATGTAAAAAATGTATTATTCTGTAAATATCATGGAGTGAATAGTTATAACGAGTCAAAATTAATAGGAAAGATATCCACCGTAAAACAAATAAATATGCGGATGATCTGCTGTGACGAGCTCTAATGGGGGTGAAATGTCAGAATAAGTCAAAATGAATGACAAAATTATTTGTTTTCTTGCAGAACTACTAAAATCTCACCTTGTGACTGTGCTGAATATCTTTGAATTGCAATTCATTAATTCATTAAAGTAACGAGCAAAAAACTTTGCTTTAACCATTTATGAAATCTCTGATGACTTTAAATATCATTTGATCATTAAGCAGATCAACACATTCATTGACGATCAGTTGGTAAGTTGTTTGTGAAGAAAACTGCACTATGGCTTCATTGTCTTTCTCTAACAAATGTCACTCTCCTTCCCTCCCCTTCATTTCTCTCTCTCCTCAGTGGATCAGCAGTCTCCCATGGCACACCTCATTAATATATTCATGCCCAGGGGAAGACAAAATACTCCTGCATCATCCAATTTTCCTGCCATCCTTGAAAAATGGATCAGTGGCCGAGCCATGCTTAATTACAGCTGGAAATGGGAGATATTTATTGAGGAGGATTGTACAGAGCATTAGCATGCAACAAAAAGGATGACATCTGCGTCCTTGATGGGTCCATCGTCTCGCTGACAGGTAAGATCTACATAGGGTAAGACCTCCGTGGGATGACTGAAACATTTATTCGTGCTTGGCTGAGACTTTTCAATTTGAAAACTGGACGGATGGGTCTCTCTGGTTAACAAGTCGAGGTTATCAGCCTCGTGAATCCCCTGAAACCTGTGCGGTGGGCATTTTGTAGACAAAGATGTGCAGGGCAGAATGTGAAATGCCTGTCTGAACTTGCATGCAGAGCATGTTAGGCCAGAGGACACGGCCCTCTGCTTCAAACGAATAACAGAGAAATTAGAACAATGCTCATAGGGAGAAACAGCCATCTCAAGGGCAACTAAAGTACGCCATGAGAGAGACAGATAAAGATCGAGTGAATCAAAGGCAAAGCTTTTCAACTGCATTTCTCTTCAAAATCAGCTCTTTTTTTGCTCAGAAATGTATATTTGTAGTGCTCATGAATGTATTTCATTACATTGTTCTGAATGGCATGCCTATCAGCACTATGAACAGGGCAGCAAATGGAGCTGTAAAGCAGTGGACTTTCTTGCCCTTAAAGTCTGGGTAGGATGTCTGTATCTGTGGCTTCTCCATTGCACAAACGGTCGACATGCTGACACCGATCATGTTAGACTCACACCCTGTGAAACTTCAGTCTGAGATGTCTAGTGTAAATAGTTATTGGCAGAAACCCCGCTTGCTGTGGTTTGTTGTTTATATGCAGTAAGATCTCACATCACATCAGTCTCTCCATAAAGCTAAAGTGTGGAAGGCTGCTCTTGGACTCTTTGTTAAAGGGATATTTCATCCAAAAATAAAAAATGACATTCTGTCATTCCAAACCCATATGCTTGTATTTTCCCCATAGAACACAGTCATTTTTTAAACAATTTCCACTCTCTACACCTTTCCATTCAACAACAGCGCATAGCCACCAACTGAGAAAACACAAAAGTGCCTTAAAGTCTGTATAAAAATATAAATTCCTATCTATTTTCTAAATGCAAGATTCATCTGTGTATATTTGTCTTTTTGACATTTTGATTTTTAATAAAAATCACATAACCCAAACACCCCAAATGATCTCAGATCCCCCTGAACAGACCCAAAAATAAACCTCAGGAGGTGGTCTGAGTACAGTTCATTTTGGGTCCTTTCATGGTTCCACTGCATCCTCTTTGAACACCAAAACCACTGAGGTTACTTACAGATTGTTCACTTTTTGGTTTACTTTAACTAAACTGGGTTTGGTTCATTTAAAGGGATAGTTCACCCCAAAAATTAGAATTCTGTCATTAATTACTCACCCTCATGTCGTTCCAACCCTGTAAGATCTTCGTTCATCTTCAGAACATAAATTAAGATATTTTTGATGAAATCCAAGAGCTTTCTAACCCTCCATAGACAGCAACACAACTGACACGTTCAAGGCACAGAAAGGTAGTAAGAAAACTGTTAAAATAGTCCATGTGACATCAGTGGTTCAACCTTAATTTTATGAAGCTACGAGAATACTATTTTTGAACAAAGAAAACAAAAATAATGAATTTATTCAACATTTTTTTCTCTTCCAGTCAGTCTCTGCTGCTATTCACGAGAGTACCACAACGTAGTCCCTACTAAGATTCTGGGCCTTGAACATGGTAGTTTCCTTGCTGTCAATGGAGGGACAGAAAGCTCTCGGATTTCATCAAAAATATCTTAATTTGTGTTCCAAAGATGAATGAAGGTCTTACAGGTTCGGAAAGACATGAGGGTGAGTAATTCATGACAGAATTTTCATTTTGGGATGAACTATCCCTTTAAAGTGTAATACCTGTATATGTGAAAACACCATTAATATGCATAAAACCCCATCCATCCACCATCAGCTGCAAGCTTGCATTCATTTTTTGAGTGAAAGCCCACATCTCAATATCCCATTAACAATTGAAGAATAGAACTAAGTCACTGCCCTACTTTTTTTTTGTGGATAATCCATTACACTCGGTTATGCATCGTGATATGAAGGAAAAGTTAAAAAATAATCTATAAAAGATAAACATCACTACATTCTACACTAACATTGGGGATTAACCCATTATACATTTTACATATCAGAAATAACATGTTTCCAACCCTGTTGAATGCATAACTCCTAGTATTTTCAGGTAAGGTTATCATTTACCCACACTTGACTTGTATACTCGCCAAAAGTGTATATAATTAAAAAAAAACATTATTATTAAATAATTATTATGCAAATAACATTATAATTTATAATTGTACCTCTAAATGCCTATTACTGTAAAAGGTCTAATTCCTGATGTCCAGGGTGTATTTATGGGTCATTAGCAGTATTGTGAGCATTCCCTCTCCACACATATTTATTTAAATTACACATGATTCGGTTGCTTTTTGATAAATGGACATCACGGAGAAACGTCTCAGGTTACTTATGTAACCATGGTTCCCTGAGTAGGGAACGAGACACTGCGTCCTCTAGGGGTCGCTATGGAGAACGCCTCGTCGTGACCCGTGTCTGAAGCATACATTGAAAAAACACCAACTCGTTGGCCGGCGACAGCCATGACGTCACTACCGGTGCGACTATAGTATAAATAGGCGCCGGGAGCACACATCATTCACTTCTTCGTCTGAAGCTTGCGTCCGCAGCATGGCAAGAAACCTAGAGGA